CTGAATGCGATAGTTAAAGTGGCTCGGGGTCAGAATGGTGCTGTCCCAATGTGAGCCCCTTTGAAATGAACATGGATTATTCATTTGGATGAGCAATGAGGAGATTACCTTTCACGTTGTCAAAATACACCTTTTTGTCGACCAATTTCGTTTGTACGGGAAACTCAGCTGAACCTCTCACTTATGATGTGGAGTTATGTTTTCAGTACCTTGTGAGTAGTGTGTTACATCTATAGTTTTCTTGTTGCATCGGGACACAGCCCAACGCGAGATGAACCACGCTATTTAGGTTTGTCATATTTACTAAACTTTCACAGACCCTTAAGTCCTCTTGTATTGAAAGTCTCTTCGTACTAAACTTGAACGTAATGCTTAGAATCGACTTCGTTTTTCCTGCTGTTGCCTCGAATTGAAATAGGAAGAACAAAGAACGTTCTTCCGCGACAATAAAACAAATATTGAAATCAATTCCTTCGTGAATTCGAATGCGAAGTTTTGCTGAAAATTTGGAAAGGAACGGTAGGCGTTATTAGACAACTAATCAAAATCCTAATTTGCACACGATTTCAGTAAGGAGACATTCTTAGCTATACTGCTCACTCATCCTGGACATTCACATAAATGCTCAAACACAGTTCAATGAATGAGCAATTTGCAACTCAACCTTCGATTGGATTAGGCGGCACTTTAAAATGCTTTGAACCGATGTTACATGCATTGTGCATAGTGCAATGCTAGTGATTGAGAAACTTCCAGAAAATGTTATTCTTAAATAGGGAAGCACATAACAAATAGGCGAGCTGTGGAGGAGAATTCAGGAAGCCTAGTTAACATAGACCGTTTCTCGTTTGTTTGCTGAACTAGACGATTGCAACTTTGGCATTAGCAGGTAAAGTGACTCTGGGTATGCTTTTAAGGTGTTTAAAGTAGCCATGTGTTCAGTAGTGCGTGTGTGATAGTATAAGTGTTGATAGTTGGGACTGGCCTTTTGTTGTGGTTGAGCGAGTGGTTAAACGGTTGTATTCATTGGCATATTCTTCTATGCCCTGACTAACTGGTGACCACGTGGCATTTGAACTCGACAACCAAGCAAGCAAACTTGCCTACGAAAGCCTTGACGGCTCGGTTACTATGTGATACACAGATCAGGTTAAACATTGGTAGACGCTTGTAAGCCATACAGCAAACGAAGTGTCCACGGTGAGTTCAAGAGTGTTTAGGATTCAGCAGAAAAAATCTCGAAGTAAAATCAGAAAAATAAAGAACACCAGAGTAATGTAGAGAGGGTTGAGAAAGGCAGAAGTTTCCAGCTTGCTTGGTGCTCAAACATCAATCGATGGACCGTCAATGCTAACCAACTCTATGGTCACCTAGTTCTCATCCACCATATACGGACCGGATCACCTATGTCAAAAGCAAAGCCGATTATCCAATCGCATTCGAAACCATTGTTCGACATCATTAACTACAAAGCCCGGCACAGAAAATCAAGTTGCATACCAGCGAACGTGGTTGATACCCGTCACTATATTGGTCCCAGTGCTACGTCCAGATGCCTGTGTGGAGTAGTTCCATAAAATTTCCGAAAATACAGATCACGCCTGCTAACTGCAACCGAGCTCATAGTCATGCGCCTTTTAGATTGCTCAGTCTACATTCAGAAATTACATGTATGTGAAGGCTTTGATTGTTACTTGGCCACACACAGCTCCGTTGATAATAAAAGCAGTAGCTGTGTCAGGCACCCTGTGGTCGAAACAGAGGGAGGACGACTGAATGAGACAGATACGCATGTGAAGAGAAAACACAATCGCCCTTTTCTGACTTGTTGCAATAGTTCCACTGTTCACTCACTTTTTGTTCAGTTGGATTCCGAAGGTGTTATTTTGCCATACAAACACCCGTTTTTCCGTTTTACAAATCCAAAGGCCAGTTGAATAATCCGTCGAGAAAGTTACGTCCCGATTAGACATTTACAACACCGATGGGCCTTCCTACATGTAATTTTACCGTTGGGGTACGAGCCACTGATTGAATAAACCAGTAGCCGAATTTTCCTGCGTAAACGTCGTTCAAAGAGACTGTTCCTTACTGCGCCTAATGAGTACGAACATCGGAAACACTGTTGATATACGCTTCCCATTTTCACAAATTGGCTGGTCAAATAGGAGCCCGGTGTCCTCTCCGACTCGCCCCACTCTCACATTCATGCCACAACGTGGAACGTAGCCACACTCGACCTACAGTAAATTATATCGTCACAAATCCGCATTTTCTGTGGTTTGGTTTATCGAGCGGGTGGAACTGGGGTACTTAGTGCAGTTTAGAATAAACTGATACTTTCGCACAATAATCTCATTCCCTTCTATGATTAAGGTCACGGTTGTTATGATTCCGCATGCAAAACACTTGGATCTGCGAGACTAAGCTCTTCAGTTCGGGAGGTTTGTTGTCTCCATTCTGTTTTTTGTTTCGGATGTGAAACTGATGAGTTCTGAAGCTGCATCTCTGGTTCTGCGCAACTGATGGAATTGATATTCGGCCTTCGAATGGTGTCACCGTGTTGAATTTCTCGGGATGGAATATCATTTTTAGATATCCGGACCATGAGTGAAGTATAAACGCTATTGCCAAAACTCTTTCGAAAGTGACATGTAGCGGCAAATGCGAAATTAAAATTCCACAAACGTTGTTTTTCGTCGGTGTTTGATAGTTCATCTTTGAGCTGCGTGAAGGACCCACATGTGATCAGCAATACACGCTGTGAAGCGTGATCGGAAGGAGAACTAGGCTGTACACAGCGAATATACACTCATTTGCAAACTTGTCTGATTTTTTCGAGAGACTCACGTGGACCTAAGCTGAATCTCTCTGTTTTAATATTTACAGGCGGCTGTATGTGCTGCACCAGGTATGTTTCAGTCGCTACGATATTCGAGATTTCGCGATAGTTATATTTTTTTAATGCACTACTAATAAGGTTGCTGAAAACTCCTCGCCAGCCCACAACCGGTTTCGCCCCGCTTTGGACTCATCAGGTAGGCGGAGTCCCCGAGGTTCCGTCAACCTTATGTTTTACGTGAACCCAATAAGAACCAATTTCCTGGTTTGAAATCATTGGAATGCTCGAGTGTACAGTACAGATATCCATCAAAGTGAACAAGCATAGCGGTAAAATTCTTAACAACATACAACACCAAGGAATTTCCTTGAGAAGCTTCCGACACAGGCGTTATTTCAGGGGAGATCAGGATGTTTTCGTGCAAGTACAGAAAGATGGACCGGACACGAACAAGAAAGAACGAGATCCTCGCAAGATCCACTTCCCTGGATTGAAATCAGTAAAATGTCCGAGTGTCTAGTACAGGCATCCGCACTACCCATTCCATGTTAATGCACGTCACCGACTTGGTCTGTACTAAGAGTTCTACAAATGACTATACGTGTGGAACTTTGAGAAAGTTGGAATTTGCGGTTTGAGGTTTTTACGCCATTAAGCGTAATGTTGAAATTCCTAAAATCACACAATACCAATGGGATTTCCTTGAGGAGCTGCCGATACATTCAGTATTTCAGAAGAGGTCCGCATACACTCGTGCAAACACAGAAAGTAGGACCGGGATACACAACACTGTGTATTTGCTGAACAACAACATACATACATCAACTAAGAATGATGGTACAGGAGAAAGTATTTCAGGTCCGCATACACTCGTGCAAACACAGAAAGTAGGACCGGGATACACAACACTGTGTATTTGCTGAACAACAACATACATACATCAACTAAGAATGATGGTACAGGAGAACATAGATGAGTAACGCAGGCCCATTGTCAAGCGCTTGAAGTGATTACTGTGACAATAAACCGGTTGAAATGATGAAGAGAGGAAATGAATTGGATGAGTTCATCCATTAACACGAAAACAGCTGATGACACAACGAAAACGACGGCCACGTTAACTGGATTCTCACTTCGGATCGGGTCTGTCCGTAACCTTCAGTTTTGCATCACGGTTGCCTTAGCGAACCGTTTCCAACCATCCTGATTTGATGAAATTTCGGACGGGAGCAGAGCGTCTGCGTAGAGCATTTGAATGCAGCGTTTCCGTTCAGCATGAAAGTAGACTGATCGACAATGCGCATTTAGGGCACACCTGAGGGTGGGAACATACAAGATCAGTCAGTCTTACTGGGCTTTCTTTGAACAGTTGCTCAAAGTAGTTATGGATGTTTCAGTGGATTAGCTGATTGGCTGGGTGTGAACTACTATGGATTTCGTGCATCGCCGATGAACCAATGGTTGCTATGTGCTGAAATCCAGATGTAGGATGTCTCATTGGACCGATATCGGACTGGACTCGGGACATATCTCGAAGGGTGCCTCGAATTCATCATTTTTTTTTTACTTGGAGCACCAAAAACTGCCGAAATTTATCAGAGTTCGGGTTGCAGTTTCACACACAACCGCTCTCCGTAATAGATGACCACTGAGCCTACGTTGAACAAGTTTTACTGCAATAACTCTAAATAGATTTGGTTCATAACGTGCACTCCAGGGCGTCATGCATTGCGTCCAAAAATGGTGCTCCATAGCTTTCCAAATATCACGAGTCTCCTAGAGAACGACTGGTCGCTTCGCACATAGCAAACCTTACTTCCCAATGGACTGTGAACTAACTCCTACAAATATTCCGCAAGACGTATTAGATGTATAAATGCGAAAGCTTGTCATATTTCAGGCGAGGATTGCAACAATGAGGGATCATTTTTGTCCGCAAGCACGGTTGGGTTTCTCAATGGACCATTTGGTCGTCAAACACCGTGGTTGCCACACATCTTATTCCCTGATTTTTCGTTTTTAAGTAAATGCTCGGTCACTCGGTGACTACTTGGCTAGGGTTCATTTGGTCGCTTTGAAGGAATCAGCAGAAATTGTAAAATTACAAAAGATACTCTTTGCAATAGACCACAGTCATCTTGCGAACAATTATAATGCCCCCCCAAACATTCGCACATGGTCGAAAGCAGTTAGGAAACAATAATATTGACAGTAATTTCGAGACGCGAACTAGCCAGTTGATTAAACATTTGTTAGATGTGTGAGGAGATCTGGCCATTTTCCATTTGGATTTCGTCCAGTCGGTGAGGCTAATCTACATTGGAAAACGAGGAGGCATCGTACATTTGTGTCATCCTTATTGGGGACCATCAGCAATGCGCATATCACGAAAACTCACGGGGGTTTCAAAGCCTCGACCTCGTGGTTGTAGATTGGACATTCGGTCGTTCGGTCATGATTCAGGGAATCCACATCACGTGGTCACATATTGCCTAGCTCCTCGAGGACGAGTTCGCAGATAGAATCTCCACTCATCTTGTGATATTATTCCTCGCTTCAGCTGCTTGTTCTTTTCGTAGGAGTATAAGGAAATTTGGGAAATGCCCACAGCTGGTCAGTCAGTCTCACTGGGCTTTAGTGGTTGAATACACCCATGGTAGTCATCGTGGTAGCCGTCGTTCTCATCACTGAGTTTTCTCTGAACAGTTGCTCAGTGTAGTTATGGGCGTTCCAGTGGATTAGCTGAGTGGCAAGTGAATTATTAAGGATTTCGTGCATCACGGATGAATCAGTGATTGTTGTGTGCTGGAATCCAGATATAAGTGTCTCATTGGACCGATGTCGGACTGAACTTCGGGCACATCTCGAAGGGTGTCTTGAATCCAAGGTAACCTACCCCAATCACTGTAGATTTTTCCATGAAGAAAACTACTCACAAGGTTGCTGAAAACTCTTTGACAGCCCATGAACGGTTTCACCCTTCTTGGGGCTCATCAGGTAGGCGCAGTCCCCGAGTTTCCGAGTAGAACATCATAAACGAGGAATTCAGTTGAGTCTCTCGTCAAAACCAAATTGATTTGCAAATGAGTGTATTTCTGGAATTGCAGAGTGTCGCTACTCAGGCGCGACATTGGCCGTCTTTAGCAACCAGGAAAACGTGCGCTTCTGTATCTTCTATAGAAAATTGCTCAGAAATGTGAGTGGTTTCATCTGGTTTCACCGCGTGTGGTATTGGCGAGAAGTATCGCAAATGTGGAAGTTTATAGACAACTCAGTTTGATTTCGTACAGGTTGCACCATTATCTGATGACAGTTTGTGCACGTTGCACTGAGCCGTACGAGCCGGAATCCGATGAACGTTTTGAACGAGCATGGACAAGCATTTCACTTCCTGTGAGGAGTGACTGTTCTCGAAACGTTTGCTTTCCGGTGGACATGTTTGGTAGAAAGACCAGTGTATCAATGGATGTTTAAACCAAATTCGTTTGCAACAAAAGGAATGACCAAGTGGAGATTCGGGCCAATTACCCAATAGATAAAGGGCACAAAACGCTAGTGCGAAATTCGCAGCTGCATCCGAAAATCATCGGTGAGCCCATACAGTAGTGGGGTTTGTACACTTATGCGTCGTTCGAAAGACAAAACCCGACCCTCATGTGCCGGACTTTTTGCATGTTTCATTGGCGTGTAACACAGTTTGATGTTGACGATTGGGATGGTCATATCAATTTAATTCATCCTCGTTTTTCGGTTAGAGCACCTAACACTATCGAAATTTCTCAGAGTTGGGGCTGCAGTTTTACACACAACCACGCTCCGCAGTAGATGGCCACCAAGCTTACGTGGAACACGTCTTATTGCGGTAACTCCATATAGGTTTGGTTTAAAACACGCACTCTAGGACATCATCGACCGCGCTCAACAGATGTTCCATAACCATCCAAATATCACCAGTGCCCCAAGAAATGACCAGTTGTTTCGATTTTCATATTTTGCAATAGTGACAGCCAAATGAGGAAGTTATCCGGAACAGTGTATTCGCTCCACAAAAGCTGTGTTGTATAAGGTGGTTCATTTGAACGCAGTTTCTGCAGTTTCAGATGCGCACCAATGTGAAATTTACAAATACGTGACAATTGCATAGGCTCGTTAGTTTGCCTTTTCTGTAGAAATCCCGCAAAACGACTTATCCTAAGCTTGTGTCCCCATGCAACTTTTGTCGTGCACGCCTTCAATTATCTTAACGCTTGTTACTTATTCAATACATGAATGAAATTTCTTCATGATTGGGTGCCACCATGTGACTGGTTGGCTTTCTTATCGATGTGTGTTGCGCTTAGTTTTCCACGCTCCAGTCAGTTTTCCCAACAGAGTTTCTTCCCTTCCGCTTTCATGGTGATTCAGTCAAGAGTACGAAGCGGCTAACTAACTCTGAGTTAGAACTTTAGTGTAGAATGAATAGAGGGAAGGGAACTAACTTCAGTAGAGAAAACACATACAGTGTCTGCCTAGTTCTACCTCAGATATCTCCTTGCTGAATCATTGAGTTTCAATCGGACTGACGGAGGTATACGGACTGTAGTGGAGGCGGACCTTAGCGAACAAACGCCGACAATGCAGGCAGGTACTTTCTCTTTCCAGCGACTAAGCTTCAGGCCACGCAGAGGGTCACTGTTTTTAAATGTTGGGAAATCCTCTCAAGACGAGCGGAACGCTTTGTGGGTTGTCGAATAGTTTTCAGATACCTTAGGAGTGGCATATAATCATATGTGTGTGCGACATACTGCAATATCTCAATTGTCGTTCTAAGTAAAGTATGATGCGGCCTGGTGCAGCAACCTCAGTTGCCTATGGACATCATAAAGAAGAGACTCAGCTGGGTTATGCAGATGATTGCATGAGTCAGAATGGAATTATCTTTTTGCTCCAAGATACGTAAGTTACTAAGTAAGTCATAGGCATCTCAAGGCTATCAAATATGCCATCGACAAACCAAATGTTCCAAGTCTAGTGCATCAGGGTGCACGTGGGTTGTTCCATTTACTGAGGCCATAATTTCATCCTAGCG